CTTTTAAAACCGAACAAGAAACAAAAAAAAATGCATGAAAATCTCAAATTATTTTAAAGTAATTTATTTATTATGAGAAATTGATAATTCAAATCAAGCGTTTGATTTCTAGTGCAATACAGGTTTGGTTTAACAAAGTTTATTTGTAAACACAACAGAGGATTTATAATTCACATCATTTAATCAACAAAACAAGTCTAAAATCTACTATGAAAACAATGTATAAATATAATAATTTTACTCTACTAGGAAACTTTCAAGGGCCTGGTTAATCTTAATGCCTACATCAAATATTCAGCAAAAAAATCAAACCACGTAAATTGCCCAAATATTATTATAATCGCACGCCATTATTATTAAATACATGTTGTTGGAACAGACTAATAAATTAAGCAAAATCAACTAAAATAATATAGCTGAATGCCTAATGTAGGTATATCTCGCCGGGAATAAACCCCTGCAAACGAATTTATCTCGTGTTAATTAGGTCATATCTGGCTAATAGCGGTTACAAATTAGAAAATATATGATCCGACTTGTAAAAAACACATCAATCAATGGCTTATCTTTGCTGGAATTATTGTATTCCTGTGGCTAATAACCTGATTATCATATGGAATCATATTTTGCGTCTCCAAATAGCCTTGTTATGAATAATTTTACTAATTAGTTATTTATGTGCTTGAACTCTTTCTGACCTTTACTGGCAAGTTTAATTGCATTTGGCCACCTTCCAGTTCAGAAATTTACAACTTCACTTTCGTGAAACGCTAAATTTCTTTCAATCCAATAACGTTACAATGTACTTGCACGTTTTTGTTAAGATCTTCCATATATTTTTCCACATGTAATTTGTTTAATAGTTAAATCAAGTGCAGCCGTCTGAAAGCAATTTTAGTTTTATTTCCTGCCTAACCACTATCCAAACTATCAGAAACGGCATCAGTATGCAAATTGATTAGTATTATATATTATATTAGCACATCTATTTCAGATTAATATAAACGGATTTCACATTTTTCATGGCAGAAATGCAGATACTTAAACCAGCACTAAAAAACAACATGCGTTTGGACATATTTTTTCAAATTGATTTTTCGGTGTTGAGTCCATTTAAAATTTAAATATGACCCGGACAGTAAGTTGTTCAAATTCAAGCCTTTTTTCCATAAAACTTTTGTGTTTATCTTTGATTATGAAATCAGTTTTCAGTACAAATCACTGATTATTTGCTATTGTTTCAAATTTGGTTTGCTTTCAGTTATTGAGAATTAAAACAGTTTTTAATTTAAGTATAGGTATTGGTTTAAACTGTGTAAAAATTTCCGAAATTTATCGAACGCAGTAGGATAGAAAATATTTTGTTTTTTTACAACTCTTGGTTTGGGTTGCATTGGGTAAGTTTTTTTGGCAAAAAAGTAGTTTTCTGAATTTCTAACCGTCTCGTCAAGTCTTTGCTAAAAATTAGAAAGGATTTTTGAGTTAATTTCCCAGATCTGATTTTTTTAAGGAGAGGCTCATATTGACTACGGTGGAAAACATTTAATAAATTAATTTTTATGATAATGTTAACATAGTTTTTTATTTAAGAAAACGACGTCTGCTGAACATTCAATTAAACTGAGAAAAATTTTGGAAATTTATAATACTTACATAGAAAATCTTTAGTTTAGGTTAGTGCTTTTTTTCGAGCACAAATTTAATTTTTACATTTGGGTTTTTAAGTTCAATTTACAGTTCTTGACTGTAGAAGCTTCTTGATGGTCATATACAGAGATTTTGAGACGATATTGGAGCAAAAAACATAATTGAAAATTAGTAATTAAAAAAAAGATTTGCAGTTATTTCGGTTTACACCGCTCTAGCAGGTTTATTTTTTGCGCCGGTTGCAATTCTCACTTTCTTCCGCAAAAAGTCATGAGAGGCGAAAAAATTCAAAAACGGCACAAGACTAATTTTTTGATGGCGCTTTAAAACTCAAAATATAGAACTCATACAGGAAAAAAGCATTACAGTCGAAAAAATCATGGCAACATGAACAAATTTGGACTAGAGCTGATGCTCTTAAGCGCAAAAATAGAGCCACGCGCTGCACAAATCAATTAAAATAAAATCAATAAAACTTAACTGCAATTAAAAATTAGCATATTTAATTTTATGTGTCTCGGGGCTGTTAAAGGTCAAGCAAAATCCTTTGGTTGTCACGCTCTAGGGCAAAATAAAGTATTAAACCAGGCCGCTAGCGCTCTGGTTCCGTTACCTAATTACTTGGGCATGATTTGGTCACATTAAAAAGTTCTGCAATTCATGTGCAAGTTCAAGCACATAAACTTAACCCAATCTTACAGGAAATCGAGACAAAATTTTAGTACTGATCATGTTGTGGAAGCCTTATCGAACGTGAAAAAAGAGAAAGCGGATAATTGCATTTTCAACTTTGTGTTTGAAAGTACAGGATAACTTTCTTGTAGAATTGTCCTACACAACCATTTTTTTGTTTATTTTTAATTATGTTTTTCTAGGGTCAAAACAAATGCTTACAAATTACAAGCTCCAGCTGGTAGTTTCCAATAACTTTATCACTAGTTTTCAAAAATCCATTCACTGTTTACTCAACGATCATTATAAATTTCCTGGTTTACAAACGCGTCGTTTTTTGTGCAGGAATATCAAGCTTTATGACCATTCTGGACAATTCAATCATTAACGGCTGATTGAACGGCGCCATTTAAATTGCGTTTTCGATTCGAAATGAATCCAATGGAATCCTGTAGCATGAAGGAAAATGGAAAATGGCTATTATGCCGTTTTTGCCTAGCACCGAGTTTGATATTGGATTAGAAACTCCATGTGCAATCTGTGCATTTTGCTGTTTACATGAAGCAATCTGGTTTAATGTTTCTTGATTGAGGGACATTACAAATGCTAGTTTAGTCCTGTTCGTTAGGAATTAAGAGACACTGGGTTTTTAGTTCAGTAATTCCGAAGGAATAATAATGAAAAATTTCATATATCGCAAACAAAAATTAAGCAGCAAATGTTTGTAGATTTCTATATGACTATTCTAAACCTTACATGTTTTTTTTTGCAGAATCTCTTTTTTTGCAGAAATTACAAAAAGCGCCGATATGTATTTTAAATTTTCTAACTCGTTTTCGTACATTCGTCAACTAAGTCAAGCATTGATCTGGGAGTGTATTATTTAATTTTATTAAGTTCTGTGTGTCTCTTATACAGAGAGTCCATCAATAAAATAATAAATTGGAATAAAATTAGGAGAATTGTCTTTCAGAAAAATACTTTAACACTGTTTAATCGATATTAAAACGAATTGCAAGAAAATGGTGGTTGAAAACAATATGTAGATATCATAAAAGACAATAGAATCCTATCAGAAACATTGTGTTAAAAACTAAGGCAAAATAATTATATACTTAATTAAATTCTGTCTGGTGACAGTGTTCTAAAGAATCTATAAATTCTTGCTGAACCGCATTTAATGTGCTGTGCTTTTTGATTTTTTATGGATCCTGSACAAACTTTTTTTCGGAATTTTCAGTGAGTTGTGCTATTATCTATCGGTATACAAAAAATTCAACATTTCMCATGCGTGTTGTTCAACTCAATTGTGAGCTTTTGGCATAAAAACTTTCCAATTTTCTCATATAAAGTTGTTAGCAGTGAGATTAAAATGAAAATGTTGATCAAAAATCAAATTTTAATATGCTTGTTTTTTGAACCCATTGGATTGTTTCCGGTCATGTAAAGTTTTTGAGTCTATAACAAAGAATATATTGTCGGTTAAATATTGTCAGATTGTCACCGCTGAAAAACTGCTTAAAATGAGCTGAAAATCTCAATTAATTCGGATCTGAAGCATCTTGTGTGTTTTCAATCCTTTTGTTAGATTTCTCGCTTCCTTGGGATGGAATTGATGTAGAAAAAACCTAAGCGTTTTGATAAACTTGATAATTTTTGCGGTGGAAATCAAATTTTTCAGCTCAATGGATTTGTCCGGCTTGAAAAGCTTTTTAGTGTGCATACATAAAGTGTTTGCGTATATAGCATAAAAGATATTGTCGGTTAAAGAGTCTCTAACCGCCCAAAAACTACTTAAAATAACCCGAAAATATCGATTATTTCGGTTCTGATACTTTTACCATGTTTTCCAATGAGTTTGTTGAATTTTTTGTTTGGTTGGGATAAAAATTATGTATAATTGGAAGGAATTTGAGAGACTTAAAATTTTATGAAAAAATTGATCCTTTTTTTCTTTGGATCCACTTCGATCCGGAAAAAATATGTTGGTTAAAAAATTAAATTTTGAAGTGCGTGTTTTCTGAGTTAAATAGATTGTTTCCGCCCTAAGAAGCTCGCAATATCGTTTTTTAGCTAAAAGTTTATTCATCTGAAAATTTTTTTTTCAGTAGGTAGTTGTGACTAACTTGACGAATGCTGATTTTTGTTATTTGTGTTTATTTTAACAACGAGTAAAATGTTCAGTTTTTTCACTTCATGGATTGTAAATTTACGAAAAAGCTCAAAATCGAACAATCGAAAAAGAGATTCCCATTTGAAATTTTCAACTTCAGAGTCATTCCTCAATAAATAATTCTTGCTCAAAATCATAATTTAAATGTCTGCTTTGGAAATACTTTGAGAGGCAAAAAGTTTATCCTACACGAAATTGTTTAGAAAACAGAAACTTTCTACAGATACTTCTCCTTTAGATACGACACGAATCGAATAATCGGATAATGCTTAAGTTAAGAGCGAAACTTATGCGGTCAAAATAACTAGAACCGACATATTTAGATTAGGGAAAGATTACAATTATGCGAACTTAATTCCCGAAATGTTTCAAAATAATTGCAATTTTAAGACCTTAGACTAATTTACTATCCCATTATTTTTATTTTGTTCATGTATAATCAAAACAGACACTTAATTTGCATTACAATCATGCATTTGCTTCCAACAAAATGCAGCAAGAACTATACCTTTAAGTTAGTTCATGCGAGTTCCTAAAAATGAAGAAACTTTCACCAAAAAAGAGTTTTTATCGGATTTTTCTAAACAGCTTAACACTAAAATTTCGTAGAAAAAAACTTTTAAATTTTTCAAAGTAATCGAAACAAATATCGGCGCGCATTTGCGTAGAATTGCTGCATAGAATAACGCGACGTCGCTCTTGCTAGACCCGAACGCACTGAATGAGCGTCTGGACGCCACGAGATAGCGACGTATTTTCATTCAGAATGGGCAAAGTCGATGGGCGAAATTTAAAACAAAACTTTTCCTCTGCTGAAGTGAAGTTTGATAAAATAAACTTTGTTAATATCAATGGCAGTTGCAGTTGATTCACTTTAATCTCACTTGACAAACTTTTGAAAGTTGAAAATTCAAGCCCAACATGATTGATGTGAACGGTTTGAGTTGAGAAGGACATGAAATTAAATGTTGAACATAATTTTATATAAAGGAAACATTAAATTTACACTTTATTCCCTACGATTGCCTTGATTTTAGCAGCAAAAACTTAAACAAATAGGTTCAATAGCTTTATGTGAAATTTTCTTAATAAATACAGTCGATATTTTTTGCCATAAAAGCAATTTAAACCCGGGAACTTTCAGGCAATAAAACCTACTTCTCTACCTATTTGGGTGGTGCAAATAATTCCGGCATACAATAAATGTTTTCTGGTGAACCATAAATATAATTCCAAAAGCAGAAATGAACAAGTGATCTATGGCCAAGTCCAAATCGCACTTACTTCTGATAAATCTACCGTAAATAAATGACCGTTCACCCAGAAGCTTGCACGATAGTCAAAAATGCTTAAAAAACTTGCCTTATGCTAAATAAAAAGCATTGTCTAGAATTCATTAAAATGTTCATTGCTTCGCTTTTTCTGACCAGTTGAACTTGAGTGGACTGTATAATTTTTTCCGACAGTTGCTAGAAAATTGTCGACGCGAATGTGATTAATGATGATCAAACTGCTTTGTTACTAGCGCTAAGGGAGGAAGGATAGGTCCACAAAGGAAAATTGAGTTATATCCAGAAAAAAGGGGTTGACAACTATGTCTACTGGATAGAGCAGTTACATTATTTTATTGGGTAGACGTAAGCAACCGGTCCTAAAATACTCGTAAAACAAACATTGTTCATATTAGATTATTTATACACAATCGCCTATTAAGATTAATCGTTAAATCAAGCCCGAGTTGTATTGATTAAAAATACACTACCCACATGATAGTAGGCCCCATTTCTTTCAGAAGACTCCTCGTCAATTACACGACGTTGGCGTCGCATTACCTGTTGTTCAGAAAGACTTCCGAAATGTTGTCGTTTATCACGTTTTCATTTTGTTTATTCCAAATGTGACCATATATTTTAATCTCTGTCTCTGCAACGAATACAAGAGACGAATGATTTGGTAACAGAAAGAAAATTGTCTATTGGATAAATAAATGTGGGTTCCGTACAGTATTTCATAAGCTGTTGATTATGGCTATGTGTATAAATACACTTAGTATGATTTATAAGTAGTTAAATTTAAAGTTTTTCGATAACGATGATGATTTACAGATGGGTTATTTTCAGTCAACGTATTTTCTTTGTTTATTAAAGTATATAAAACAGTATGTATATGAAGTAAAAAGTCTAGCTTTGGATAGAAACATACAAAATATCTACAGCTGAACAAAATAAAACAAAGACAGTTTGAATTGACAGACAAAAATTGAATAACACAAGATACGTTATTGAACAAAAAATTAACAAAAACTTAGCAAATATCTAGAGAAGCCATCCCGTAGATATAGAGATTCTGTGGAGTAACACCATTTTTACCACGAGAAACATTTACACCTAACAAGGAATGGATAGTAGAGATGATTCGAATCCCCATGAAAACTTACAAGAACGAACCAAGCAAATATAAAAAATATACATAAGGTCATAAGCGGAAACTAAAAAGAAAATCTTTCAAAAAAATCAAGTATGTTCTTTGAGCATTATACTGTGAATGAGTAGAATACTGTGTACGAGATAGTAAGAAAAGTGGTTCGAATCCGCAATAGTATGGACAAACTACTTACAAATCAGCCACACTAATTAATTTCAGAAAATTAAGCCACATAGAACATATGGATCGGATAAAAGTATAAAAACAACTTCAGGAATTATAGGTAGATATAAATACAAATAGTTTAAAATTGTGGCACGTTTTGAATATGGACCTGCCAGCCTTTGCACATCGAATCAAATCAAAGCTCAAAGCTTTACAAAAGTTTTTTAAAAGAGTCATCCGAAGGCTCGTGTCAAGATGAAGTTAATTATTCCGTCGCTCTTAATCATGCGAGCCGAAGAAAACACAACTCATGACCTTATTGAATGTTGATTTGCCCTTTAGTCGGGTTTTGCACAACATATCAAGCTGAACGAACTAGATCTGACATGTTGGCAGAGGGATGATAACTGAAAGTATAAAGTGGAGTGCTTCTTCATTCAAGTTCAAGTGAAGTGTCTTCAAGTGTAGTATGTTCAAGTGTCGCGTGTGCTTTTGAAGATTAAGGGTGGAAAATGGAGGATGGGGCGCCAGCTTGCAGAAAGCTGGTAAGAATTAATTCTAATCCCAATAGGTATCAATCTTTTAGTTTGATTTGAGTTTAGTTCTTCGAAACGCAACTGAATTTTATGAAATTTTCCATTTATCATTCTTTCCTCTACTCATTTCAAATAATTCAATTGTAGATTAAGTTTCTGTTACACTAAAGAATGTTTCCTTTCGTTCCAAGTGGCATGATGCAGCTTTCGGTAAGTCTGACACTTAGATTAAACAGATGCATTTGTTTACTTTTTCGATGGGAGCAACAATGGTTCGCAATCTATATACAAGGTACTTCCGAGAGTTGCTTTTCCGGCTTTTGATACATATGAGCAGCATCAACAAGAAAATATTAAGAAAAGGATAGCCATCAGGGTATTTAGTGTTATATTTGTTTAGTTTGTAATAAGCGACAACCAAATGCCATTAAAATAACAACGTCGAAATTTTATTTTAAAAAATTCATAAGAATTTCCGGTGGTAATTACTAGAAAACATAATGAAAAACGTTCATCATGACAATACCGCAAAAGAGGGGAGTACGTGATAGTGACATAATAGTAAGGGGAAGAGGATTTGTTGGACTCGTAAATACGGCAATTTTTTGTGTTTAAGGTGATAATAAGTGATAATCATGATTTTTTATTTCGAACATATAATGTAGAGATATAGGTCAAAAAACGAATGAATCTTTCATGCTTAGAATAAATCAATTATTGCAAATATTTACTACGTCAATGGCTAGCAGCCAGGCGAGTTGGTTTTCCGAATAATTCTACTCTTTGTAAATATATGGATGGTACCTACTTTTAGAACTTTCATCCCTACCACCTGTTTTTCATTGATAAATCGCCGATCGATAGAATTTAATGTTGCTCCCAAACAAATCGGGATTTATGAATGACTAGCTTGGTCTATCTATTAATATCTTTGGTTTGACATTAAGTTTTCCCGTGGTTGTCTTGTAGATATACAACTTATAGTCCCAACAAAACAAATGTAAAATTTGTCTCGTTGTGCTACGAACTTATAGTTTACACCCGAAATTAAAGAGTTTTGTACTCTCAATTGTCACATTAAATAGTTAAATTTCCCAAAAGGACACACCTTAATTTGTTTTTAGTTTTCAAAGTAAAGATATCAATTACGAATGTTTTCGGTGCTCTAAACTGTTGGCTGTCTTTAATAGTAAAAATTTCCCAAAATGCAGATCAAACTGCCTGTAGGTGAAATTTGTTTATTCCATTGCGATGGTCTGGCGGATAGCGTCCTGATCTACAAATTTAGACTTTGCGCTGTTTTTTCAAATTTAACACGTAAAACAAATAATTTTTTGCCAAACGATTCGTATTAGGGCATTTCGGCAGCCATGATCCGTCCGACTATTCCTGGTTTTTTGCGGTCCATCGCCCTTCAGGCTGTATATAGTACAGATCAACATTACATTTAAGCTTGGGATTGTTGTTCTAAATTTCAGTTTATTTAGGCGAAATCCTTATTTTTGCGAATTTCAGCGGTCTAGATCCAGACTGCAATTTATTCCGTAGTAGTAGATGGCAACCAGGATGGTAGTTTCTATTTTGCAACATTTATACTGCTCGCATGTGCAGCCTCTCGGATTTTATGTCGCAGGTTTTGCGAAGTTTATCTAGCGGTTTCTGCAAAATTTATATTGCGGTTTTTGTTCAATTTTTATTGTAAGTTTTGCACATTTCTCTTTGCGGTTTATACTAAATTTATATTTCAGAATTTTTATTGTAGTATTTCATGATTTTCTTCTTTTGTCATTGGTAGTGGCCTTTTTTTACGAACGGTCTGTAAATTTTTAAGTTATTTTTACGCACCACTTAGGCTTTTTTCTTACAGGGTCTTTTTATATTTTATTATCGTATTTAGGAACTTATTTCCCTAGAATCCATTTTCATCAGATACATCAGGTAACTTTTTAAAATGCCTCTATTCACTATTAAAAGCGTTTGATCTTAACTAAGATATTTTTCACAGCTTTGTACTATTCATGTCTTATTTTACATTTTACTCATTTTGCTAGAATTTCGTTTGTCAAGTACACCAAGTCCCCTTTTAAAATGTCTCGATTTACTAAATGGGGCTTATTTTTTTAGCTTTAAACCGGTCAAATTTGATGATATATGTGCATATTTAAGATTTCGTAAGAAAAGCAAAGCTGTAGTATGGAAACTAACACTTTATTGATTCCAAATAAGAAACGTAAAAAAATGCATTTTATGCATTTTAATAATTTTTTATTGACGTTATAGGAAAAAAGCAGTTACACTGTGTTGAAATTATGTAATTTGAGCCATTATTTGCAAATGAATTTCCCTCATTGAGTAATCAAAATGTTGAAAGACGCTTTGTCGCTTTAAACAGGCATTTTTATCAAACGCTTACAATTTAATTTCATCAAAAGACGGTATCTGTATTATGGCATCAATTTTTAATTAGCAGTAAAACGTTAAAATAAATCCCTGTGTGGTATTTTACGAAATTCGTTTCAGTTTTTACGAATACATTTCTTCTTAAATAATGCTAACTCGAGTTTTTTGGAAAACACT